CCACGCCCTCGCTAGGCATCCATCATATCTAGACTATCATGGGAAATGAACTCCGTCCGAGCGTTATGCCATCATTCGAAGTCCTCACTTAGTCTATAGCCAGGAGCTAAGAATTATCTACCAGAGCACTAACAATTTGAGCTAACTCACAAGCGCAGCGCGAAGCGGGGAGGCGCCACCTATCCCACCCATCCATTCATTCATCCATTTTCCTAAAGTACCTACTATCTATAGTCGGCTTAAACTGAGGTTGCAGCCGCATCGCTTTGTTAGTGAGCTCCGGTGGCCACTATGGTGCGATGGCAATTTTACGCTCTCGTCCGAAGTGCTGCTACACTTAATGGCCGAACTCTGATTCGTCTAGATTCGGTTCTTGGACCAACGAAAGAACACCGAACTCACTCCCCACTATACAGCCTACGGGCACGAGTCACTAATGAAAATCTGAACTGTCTGCCGTGCTCGAGCACGATGGAGCCTGGCACGAGACGTACTATAATGCGTTAGTCTAGCTATGTATATACAGCACACTACGATACGGCCTTCAAGATGGTGCCACACTATATACTAGGCAGTCACTGGGGCAGCATCGGTTTCTTGCCCCGAGATTGTATCCTTGGGGGCTGCCTGCTGCGGAGCCTCCGCGCCGTCGGTCACCGATATCGACCTGTTAGCTTCCTCTTGGTCCTTTGGCGCATCTAGGAATCCGTTTTCTCCGAGCCATGCAATTGCTTCCATGACTTTTCGGTCTTCTTCTCCCTTTTGGCGGTCCAGAAGCTGGCGGTTGCACATGTTAGTCACGTTCTCAGCAGCATGCGTTTGGGGAGTGCTGGACTCACCGCTTGTAGAAGCCCCTTTCGCCCCTTAGACTCCGTTGGCTTCGCTTTCTTCCCTCGCTCAGGTGTCTCGTGCGAAAATCGGCATTTATCTCCGTTCCTGCAGCGACCGGTTCGAGCAAAGTGATGGCATGGTTTTTTCTTGTTCTCGCGAGGGGGTGGCGGTACCCGCTCGGGTCCTTCTCGTCGAGAGGTCGCCTCCTCCGGCGCAGAGTCCGAGTCACTGTCGGATTCATCCGAGGAGGAATCTGACCCACTCGACGACGTCCAATCGCTGCTATCGGAGTCATCTTGAGACGAAATGTTGACCTCGTCCCCAGCCTCTTCGGGCTTCCCGGCGTCTATATTGACATCTGTTGCAGACGTCGTATGGCCGTTGGCGACTCCTGATTCCTCGGCCGCAGCAGGCCCGGGTTTGACAGATTTGTCTTCCGAACCTGCATCTGCCTTGGTCCCGGTTGCAGAAGCCGGTTGGGTTTGTCCAGTGGCCAAAGTTTCGTCTATGTTGGCATCGGCCGAACCTTTTTGCAATGCCTCAGCCCTCATTAGAGCCCTTTCAGCATCAGCCTCGGCTTTGGCCACTCGCTTCTCTTCTTTCATGAGCTTCCGCCGTAGTCTGTCCGCCTTCTCCTTGGCCTTTGCCGCAGCATCCATGGGGTCGACCGGTTGGTCATTAGGCTGCTTGTCGTTTGCTTTCTTATTTCGACCGTCCTTCTGCGCTCGTTTGGACTCTTGCTTTCGCTGATCCTTCTGCCGCTGTACTTCCTGGCGTGCTTTCTTCGCCTCTTCCATGGCCTTTTTCTTCTCTTCCACTTTCGCCTGCGTCGGATACCGCTTTCGCCGTTCCTCGATCCAGGCAGCAATTTCCTCTGGCGACTGCAGTGTGGAAGTCTTCCCGCGATATGTGACCTTGAGAGCTGTGGTGTTGGCAGCTGCTCCGGCTAACCTCGCTTCTTCATCGACATCGTCTTCCTCCTCGCTCGACTCATGCTCTTCGGTTCTCGGGGTCAGTCCAAGCTGATTGTGCTTTCTCTTCTTCTTCTTTGGCTTCCTTGTGGCATCAGCGGGTGGCGGGGGTTTGACAGGGAGTGGGTTTCCAAAGCTTGGAACCGGAGGCGGTGCGGGAACTCGCGGTGCGACAGACTGGGGTTTTCCAAAGGCTGCATTATGATCGCGTTTGTTGGCATAGTGCGTTGTTCTATCCCCGTTGTGTGACTGAGCGTTATGACCATTGAAGCGTCCGCCGCGCTGAGTTCCGGCGAAAGAGCCTGTCGGTCCCGTATGCTCAAACCCCCAGCGCATAGGTGGGGCAACCATGGGCGTCTGAACTGGCTGGTTGACCGGCTGCTGGGTAGGCATGGCCGAAGGATACATAGACCCAGGTTGAGCGGTAGGCGGAGTATAAGTTCCCCCATAGTTAGGCTGGCCTTGGTAAGGCGGCACCCGGGCTGCGGTTTGCGTAAAAGGCTGCGAAGGAGGGAAGGAGGAGGCATTCGGGGCCCGTTGAAAGTTTTGCGATGGCGAAGGAGTAGCTTGGGTTGCTGGGTTTGGGTGCGAGGCATACCCAGAGTAGTTCATCTGAGCGTAGCCAGTCGACGGTGTAGCGGTAGGGTACGCGCGGTTATCTGGTGTCATGAAGTGACCTCCACGGGCACCTCCTCGGTTTCCATAACCCCTCCCACGTCCTCTGAAATGGCCACCCTGAGCATGACCACCTCGTTGGCCGTAATAGCCCTGACCGCCATATTGAGGAGGGTAGTTGGCATTATGGTGACGGTATTGTTGCTGCTGCGGCTGCGGTTGTTGCGGTTGTTGTTGCTGGGAGGGAGGAGGAGGAGGGGGAGGAGGAAAAGAGAACCCCTGGGAGTTCATGGCGAGAAGATCTCAGACGACCTTCAAAGAGAGACAGCATGCACGCCATCCTCCCGACATCGCGAAGGCTTGACGAGGGCGCAACTCAATAAATGGCGGCCGGAGATTCAGTGACAGAGCCTCTTTGGTTGTTCCGTTCCGAGCAGAATCAGGAATCGCGTGCCGCTCACGTGGGGCCAACCTCACTCTCCAGGCAAAAATTTCGTGGCAGATCCGCTGTCTGCCATTGGCTGGAAGCAGGGGGTTCTCGCATTGAGCTTCTGCTGCTAAAAGTGATTTCCAATATAATAATTGTAAAATGGTCGCCGGATGGGGAACAATTGGACTGGCCATTTAATATGGGATTGAGTCCCGACCGCTTGAATACTTCCATCCGACTGCTTGTATTGGAATAGAAAGAAAAGAACAGAAAGATCTATTTCCGTTCTCCGATATTTTTTCCCTTCATCCCCGCCGACCGTTTGAGCGCTACGTCAAGCGACTCAATTCATCATGTTCATTCTTGTTAGTGATCGACTACTACTACTCTCGCTTCTATAAGCACCCAGTGCATACCGATAGTGGAGTATGAGCTGACCTGTATCTCACAGACTACGGTCTCCGATCTTATCCAGATCTCCCCGGAGGATTTCTCCAAATATAGCGCGGTGGCTCTCGAGGATAACATCAACGAGAAGTATGCCAACAAAGTATGTACTAGCGCGTGAAGTTCCTTTCGTCATGTACTTTAAGCTCAGCACGGTCTGAGAGCGATGCTTGTGAGCAAACATTGTTGACTCTGTTGTGCATAGGTTATTCAAAAGATCGGCCTATGTATTGGTTTCTATGACCTGCTAGAGTCTTCAGATGGTTTGATCGGCCACGGCACTGGACTTGTCAATGTAAATGGTATGTTCTGTCTTCTATCTACTCTGATCTTACGGTGTAGCAGAGAGACTGACCCTATAACAGTCAAATTCCGTCTGATTGTCTTCCGCCCGTTCAAGGGCGAGATCATGCTTGGGAAGATCTCGAGTGCGACAGAACATGGCATTAAGGGTGAGTACTCCGTACATGCCATGTATATGCTTGATGCATGATGTTGACAACTCCCTAGTTGCCGTGGAATTCTTCAACGATATCCTCGTGCCCCCTGATCTACTCCTGGATGGCGCCAGATTGTGAGTGTACCACCTATTCCAACTCTGCGATTTCTCAGCTTACTGACAAATACCAGTGACTACGCGGATCAAGTCTGGATCTGGGAGAACGAAGATGGCTCCACTTTCTACTTTGATGTTGGTGAAGTTGTTCGATTCCGCGTTGAGATGGAAGAATGGCACGACCAAATCCCCAATGCACCGGATCTAGGAGATGCCGCCGCGATCGAGCGGAAACCTCCATATTCGATTATTGTGAGTGACTTGCCTTACTCCAAGTATATGATTCTACCTATGTTGAAGACAGTCTAACATGTTATGGTATAGGGATCGATGCAAATGGCAGGGTTGGGTCCGATCTCATGGTGGTGATTGATGGCTTGCATTGTTTTGGGGAGGAATACGAAGAGCTTTCCGTGGATAGGATTGCATTGTACACTACATACAGTGGGTTTCAAAAGAAAAGTAAAGAGGGGACTTGGATATACCACGTTGGGATATGGATGTTTGCAGACGGCGATTATCGCTCCCATCGATAGACGAATAATGACATGATCTTGGCTTTCAAACTGCCTTGAAATTCTATCAGGTTGGCGCAATAGTGATTACTGATGTCGAAATGAAGGGATGGTATGAGCCCATCCCCAGGAACCATGGATCATTACTCCCCTTGCAGGACCAGCGACCGTGCATCCATGCCGATTGGGCTAGAATTGGGGGAAGGGAGTGAAACCGTTGCAGAGTCTAGATAAATCAAGGCGTAAGTAGATAGAGATAGGGAGTGCAAATGACACCTAACAACGCAAAGCAGACACATACACTAGAGGTGGAACTAAGGCTGTCAACACGGAAGGGCGTCGGCGCAGCGACGGTTAAAGGCGGCGATAAACTCGCGGGTGGGGAAAAAAAAGACAGTGAAGAATCATTCTGGAACTCGGCGCGGGTCCTTCTCGACCACTTCGTCCTATAGTTCTCCAGCATCTGGTCTGCGCAACGTAAAAGAAACCCGGCATCAGCCAGAAATTTTCAAAGCACTTGCCCCCTCTCTGTGCGCTCGTCTCAGTTCATTCCTCAGTGATTTCGTCTCACCGATCCTTTTTTTCTCTCGTTTCCTTGGCCATTACAAATCGCAACCCTAGAAACCTTGAGTTTGGCTTATATTAGACCGCATTGCGTCTTGCAGGGGCCCTGTGATTTCATCACCCACCTCTTGTCTTTTAGCATTCAACTGCTCTACAAGACTGCGCGCGCGCATTAGACCACAGCGACTTGTTCTGATTATTTTCCTCGCTTTGACTTTTCTTTATTTCTTATTCCCCATTTCGCATCTATCTATTATTTTATTTTAAACTTTTCCCCCCTCCCTTCCTCGTCACAATGGTTGCTCTCCCCACTCAGAACGGAGCGTCGACCCCTCAGGATCGCCGCTTCGGAACTTTGGCCGTCCACGCCGGTGCTCCTCATGATCCTACCACCGGCGCTGTCATTGCTCCTGTGAGTTCGCACTCTTCTCCGGACACTGCCTTCACTTCTACTGTACACGCGCTAATCAGCTGGTGATAGATCTCCCTCTCCACCACCTTTGCGCAAACCAGCGTCGGCAACCCCGTCGGTCTCTACGAATACACCCGCAGCTCGAACCCCAACCGGTTAGTGGGATTGGAATCGCCATAGTTGAAAATACATTATATGGGTTATTGACTTGCTGGAATCCAGTGACAACTTCGAGCAGGCCATTGCCGCTCTTGAACACGCCAAATATGCCCTTGCCTTCTCCTCTGGCTCCGCAACCACCGCCGTCATCCTTCAGTCTCTCGCCGCGGGCTCTCACATCGTCTCCGTCTCCGATGTCTATGGTGGAACCCACCGGTACTTCACCAAGGTTGCCTCCGCCCATGGTGTCCAGGTGACTTTCTCGCCTTGCATCGAACTCGACGTCGAGGAGCTCATCCGCCCCAACGAGACCAAGCTGGTCTGGATCGAAACCCCCTCCAACCCCACCCTCGGCCTGGTCGATATCGAGAAGATCGCTGCCGTGGCCCACAAGTACGGTATCCTGGTTGTCGTCGATAACACCTTCCTGAGCCCCTACGTTCAGAACCCTCTGGACCACGGTGCCGATATCGTCGTCCACTCCGTCACTAAGTACATCAACGGTCACTCTGTAAGCTCGGCTCTTACATCTTTCTATCCTGGCAACGGAAGTCTTGCTAATAAGAATAATCTCAGGATGTCCTGATGGGTGTTGCCGCCTTCAACTCCGACAGCCTGCAGGAGCGCCTTTCTTTCCTCCAGAACGCCATCGGCGCCGTCCCCTCCCCCTTCGACTGCTGGCTCGCCCACCGTGGTCTTAAGACCCTCCACCTGCGTGCGCGCGAGGCCACCACCAACGCCACCGCCGTTGCCAAGGCCCTCGAGGCTTCCCCCAACGTCATCGCCGTCAACTACCCCGGCATTGACTCTCACCCCAACCGCGCCATTGCCGTCAAGCAGCACCGCAACGGCATGGGCGGTGGTATGCTGAGCTTCCGTATCAAGGGCGGTCAGGAAGCCGCTCACCTCTTCTGCAAGTACACTAAGATCTTCACTCTGGCTGAGAGTCTGGGTGGTGTCGAGTCTCTCTGCGAGGTGCCTTCCAGCATGACCCACGCCGGTATCCCCAAGGACCAGCGCGAGGCTGCTGGTGTCTTCGATGACCTTGTCCGTATGTCCTGCGGTGTTGAGGATTCCGAGGACCTCTTGGCCGACGCCCTTCAGGCTCTTGAGAAGGCTGTGGCTGCGACTCAGGTCGAGAATGGATCTGCTTAGATGATATGTGATGTTTCCCTTTGTTCGTTACGTTGTCTGCGTGTTTGGGACGATACATAGAGCGTTTCTACGATATATATAAATGTGAGACGATAGAGGGTCCTGCGTAGCATTCTCGCGGGCCCAATCATGACACCAGATATATACCTTCTGAAAGCCAAGTAATTTAGTAGTACTAGTATTTGTACAAGGACTTTCTCAGTCTACTATAAAGTATCATTGGAAATAAAGGTACTATTCAATCTAAGACCAACTCTATACTCTATGTATAGGACCGGTTTCAGCGCCGGATCACAATGCTTAGTCATCATTGACAACGAAAATGCAAAATTTGGACGAATGAAGCGACAAGGGAAAAGAACCAGGCATTGGCAATTTAATATACATCAGACCTTGTCTAGACAGGAGATATCAGAAATAGTGTCTTCTGAGGTTGACTGACTGTCTTGGCCCTTTTCTCAGAACAATACTGGGCTCAGACTATTCAATTCTTCATCTGAAGTAGATCATAGGATACCCCACCTCGTTGCTGGACATCCATCTTCTACTTCTCCAAATTTGGGAATCCGCTGTGCATACAGCATATAAAACTATAGCCGAAGAAGCTCTCTATTTTATCTTGTCTAGTTGTGGGTAACTGCGCCTAAAAAACCCCCAATACAACATGACATCCACATTCAGCTTCGGCTTTGCGGGGGACGATATCGATATCGATGATACGGAGATGAATGAGATTGACGAGACGAACAATGACCAGAATGCTGGTGCGGGATCTACACTTCCGGAGCTGATTCCAGCTAAGAAACATGATGTGGCTGAGTGGGTGAGTAACTTTCATACACTCTTCTGGTATTTTATCATTTGATATATCACTTATTCTACCCTACCCTATGTTACATCAAGTATCAACTACTGACAATTCCATAGATCCCAACTCTCCCCTCTCAAATCTCATTCAACAAACTCAGACTCCCCATCAACACGGCCGCTGCAACCAAGCACCTCACCCTCGCTCGTCGGGACATCTTCGATATCCGCGCCCAACTCATGGCGGAAGATACGCCCGACGAGAACAACGAGGAGCTGATTGCCGGTCTGGAGAAAGGCGACATTAAGCCCAATTTCTATGAAGGCGGGTTCAAGACCTGGGAATGTGCAGTTGATTTAGCCAAGGTGCTTGTTGATGCTGATGAGCTGGGTGTGTCGACGTCTGCTGGTGATAGGCATATTATTGAGGTATGTAGCCCTACCTACCATGAATAACATCCAGTGTATTTCGATACTGATAAGGATGCCCAGCTCGGCGCCGGCACCGCCATCCCATCACTATCTCTCTTCGCACAGCTCCTCTCGAACCCAGCAACCACAGCACAGGGAAAGAAAACTCACTTCACATTCGCAGACTACAACTCTGCCGTCCTCCGCCTCGTTACTTTCCCTAACCTCCTCTTAACATGGCTTCACTACACACAATCTTCTTCCTCCCCCTCCGAAGGAGAGTCAGAAGAAGATGAACTCCTCGACATAACCCCCACCCTCATCCAATCCTTTCAAGAAGACCTCTCTGCCCGCGGCATCACCATCTCCTTTATCTCCGGTGCCTGGTCACCTGCTTTCGTGGACTTAGTCTTCTCCCAGCAAGAATCTCACTCCCAAACACTCGTCCTCGCCTCTGAGACCATCTACTCGCCTGCTTCGCTGGGGGCGTTCTCCGAGACGTTAGTTGCGTTGTTGCGTCGTGCTGCTGCTACTCCGGGACAGCAGAGCGGGGCGCTGGTCGCGGCGAAGAAGGTCTATTTTGGGGTTGGAGGGGGTGTGGATGAGTTTTTGGCGGTTTTGGGTGGCGTTGCTGGTGCTCAGGGCGTCAAGGTGGACGTGCAGGAGAGGTTGGATGTTAAGTCGGAGGGGGTGGGGAGGGTGGTGTTGGGGGTTAGATGTGCTTGATGATACTACTACTTATATACTTAGGAGCATGGTTAGTAGTATATATATATGAATTATGGTGGTTGCGGGAGCTTATATAAAGATGTGATTTTATTGGTTCTGCTGTTCATATTGGGCATTAGGACTAGTATCGGCTATGGGGCCAATCTGATCGACAGGGACCTACAGAGTACTGTATGTAACTGTGGCTTGCGGTCACAGCTGGATATGCCTATTAGAAAACTTATGCTGAGGACAACCGCATCTGCGGACAATAGATAACGGAAAATAAAAATAAAGAAAAGATCTTGAACACTGCCCGGTATATGTACAACAAGCCCTGCTTCCTATGTCTATTACCGACATATTCATAACACAGAAAAAAACAACAGAATCACATTTTGCTTAGTTCAATATGCTCGCCTACTCATAAAGAGACACGACCTTGCCGTCCTGCATCCGGGCCACACGGGCGGTCTCCATCTCCTGGTTCTGACGCTGGTAGTGAGCGACAACATGGCTCAGATCGGCGCTCTGGCCGGGGGCGACGTTGTAAGGAGCGACGGCGCTGAAGCTGACTCTATACCAAGGAAGAAAATGTCCAATTAGCATACACACAGACCATGCACCATAACCGAGAAGAGGGTATGTTGACGTACTCAGGCTGCTTCAATTCAATGAATTCGCGAGGTCCCTGACTCGCGAACAAGTGACGGTCATGAGCGACCTTCTCCATGGCGGCCGTGTGGATGGCGTTTCTCTGCTCGAAGATCTTCTCATCCGGAGTCCACTTGTGGATGAGGTTGGTGATCCATGATGGGGAGTCGGACTTGTCGTTCGACTTGGACACCTGGTACAGAACGAAGGCGGACGCGAAGGTGCCGAAGGTGACGTAGAAACTGCGCTATATGGGTGCGTAAAATCAAGATGTTAGCTTTGAAAGCCTTGCCTATTCGTTCATGCAGGAACCAATGCCACAATGGTATAATAGGAGTATATGTCGGCGAGGGTAGGGAGGGTTCGTTTGCGTTCCCATTGGAGGAGGGGAGAACGTACGCCGAAGCTCTCGTTCACAGGCTCGGCATGGTGAGCTGCGTGCGAGTCGAATCGCCGGGGCTGCTGGTTCCGCAGAAGGAGCCGCGCCGAAGCCACCGATCGCCTAGCGAAGAACATGGTGTGGAGGTAGACAATTGGCAGCGGCGGATCGAGTTATGATGTCGTCGTCGCCGGGGGGGTTTTGGAGAGGTTGAAAGCGCAGAAAGGCGGTTCGAGGCGGAGCGCACGTGATTGGAAAGCTGGATTGGGTTTGGGCTGATTGGTCCAGTCCGGTGACTGTGAGTCACATGACTGGAGCCATTTTGGGACTAGTGTAGTATAAGACAGTTATAGCCAGAACTGGTTAGCTCAGTTGGGACAACAGTAAGGCTGCCATGACTAAATCGGTCTGTCAACTGTCATGTGGATTGGTCAGTGAAGAAGTAAATCTTCCTGCCCCAGACGTCTTGCGGTGCAAACACATCCTTCCTTCCCCCCCTCCTCTGTCGGCCTAAACTCCCTGCATGTCGGTCAAATATGATATGATGACCGTCAGACCCTCCCGATCTTCGCCTTACCTGCAGCAACATCCTAGAGGGATCATGGAATCAATCCTCCTTTTCGCCTTGAACGGGGGTTGGGACATTTCCATCCAGTGAAGTGTGAGCGGGTCGCTGTGTTGGCTCGTCAGTCATGGTGTTCCTACACCGCACACCCTGGGTGGTCCCGATGCATGGCTAACTGCCTCACTTCAACATGGCGCTCCCCACTGCTTGCGATTAGCGCGGCAGCAATTGGGTTTCAGGTTCTGCCAATTCATGTGGGCTCCTAAACGTTTGGATATCAACAGCGACATGTCATCGATCGTTGGTTAGCGTTGTCCACTCCCCGCCCACTCGACTTGCCCCCCCCTCATCTCTCTCTTTCTTTCCCCTCGGCGGTGTTTGAAGTGTGAGAGAGAGCTCGGACTCTTGGACTCTCGAAATAGCATGCTCTAGGACGCTTGCTCCGCTGCTCGTCTTCTGATTCACCCTGCCACCCCCAAATGATCGAGTCGTTGATGCCCAATGCTGGTGACACCGCCTGCTGATTGGATCCGCTTCGAGTCCGGACTCGAACGCCTCGGTCCACTCCGATGACTCCCTTCTTGCACCCAAGTGTGTTTCTCTTGCCTTTCTCGCCTAGTCGGACTCCTACAGTCTATGACTCCCTGGTAGAATGGGTATCAATTGCCCTCTAAGGTTCGGTCCGCCGTCGCGCCTCGCCCAGCCCCCCTGAGGCTGGCCGGAGCCCTTTGTACCATGCATTTTTTTCTTGTTTGGGCGTGACTGGGAACCGGTTATTAGCTGCCCTCTTTTTCCCCAACATCGTCTCTTCTCTCGAATCCCATTCCTCAGAATTCAACTATTTTAAGAGCCAGCGTGTGGAAATCTATCCTGGCTTTCCGGAGTGTCTGTCCACTGGCAAACTTGCCATTCGACACCCGGTGATTTGTCTTCCGTGTATTCCAACTATTTGCGCCCACCTGCATAGATTCTGCTCAACGGGCCTGAGCATTTTTCCATTTTCCCTATTCTCCTAATTATTTTTTCTTCCCTCTCTTTTCTCCTTCCCCCCTAAAATTATTTTATTTTCATTTTTTACTTTCTTTCCTGCCTGACCGTGTGATCACCTACCTTGTCGGGCCCCTGCGTTTCGTTCTGTATCTATATCAACTCGGAATATATCACGACGCCGCCGAACGCGCTTACAAATGTACAGTGTTAAACCCGCAGCCACCCAATCTCGTCTCCGCTGACCGTGTTACTTCTTTAGCTATTGGGAACACGTCTTACAGCCTTATTCTAACTTGGGCACGCATCACTATCGCCCACCATGGCAAAGAGCAAGAACAAGGCCGCTAACAAACAAAAGAATAAGAAGGGCAAGAACCAAGAGGCCTCTGGGAATCAGACACCTCAGCCTGACCCTCCTGTTGTTGAGCAACAACAAGAAGAACAACAAGTGGAACAGCAACAGCAATTAGAACAACAAGAGACACCTCAGCCTGAGCTATCTACCCCTGAGCCAGAGCAACAACCAGAGCAAGAGGAACAACAACCACCACCAGAGACACCTCAACCCGAGCTCTCCACCTCGGAGCAAGAGGCCCAGCCTGAGAGCCAACAAGAGGCCCCTCAGGAGGACCAGCAAGACCCGCAGCAAGAGTCGTCACAGCCCGAGGTCTCCACTGAAGAGCCGGTATCAGAGCCCCAGCAAGTAGAAGAGCAAGTTCAGGAGCCACCGACAGCTCAGCTTGAGCCCACCTCTGAACAAGCAGAACAGCAACCAGAGGGTCTGCAAGAACAGCAAGACATACAACCTGACGAGCAGCCACAAGAACAACCGCCCACTGAAGCTGAAGCTCAAGTTGAACCTGAAGCTGTAGCTGAACCTGCAGCTGAGGCGCCGATCGAATCACAGCCGGCAGAAACAGAGCCCGTATCTGAAACCGTACCAGAACCTCCACAAGAACCAGAGTCGGTGCCAGACCAAGGACCGGAACTGGAGCAATCACAGGCTTCCGTCGAGCCAGACTCGACTGTGCCCGTAGACGAGGCACCAGTCCAGCCGCCGGCGAACGAGGAGGGTGGGTTCGAGCAACCGGCAGTTCCTGAGCCCGCCCAAGTTGAGCAATCCGACGTGAACGATGTGCAGACCTATTCTGAACAGCCACAAGAGTCGAGCTGGGAGGAAATAGGCACATCGGAACAACACGCGGGTGACGCTGAGGAGCACCACGAGACCAACCCTTTCCTGACTGAAGCTAGCGGCGCCGCTGAAACAGTCGAGGAGACGCCAGTAACAGCACCGCAGACACCGCTGGATTCTTCATTCGTCCCGACCCAGTCGTGGGAGCCCTTGGAGGAACCACAGCCCCAGACGGACAGTTCATTCGTGGCAGCACCCTTTGGCTCCAGCACTGGAGCTCCAGAGACTTACTCGCATATTCCTGAAATGTCTGAACCTTTCGCCGATACAGTGGTCGCTCAGCCTACGCCTTTCTCTGATACGTTCGCCCCCTCAAGCGCTACTCCCGCTTCGAAGCCTGGTTCTCCGATTCCCCAAAGCGGTTCACCAATCCAACGCACTGCATCCCCGTCTTTCAAGTCTATGTCGCCTGGTCCTCAGAGCGCTGCTGCTACACCACGTGCCACTTCACCGGTGCACCAATCTGCGTCGCCAGTTCGACCTTACCATTCTCCGGTGCAGCAGTATACCTCACCGATGGCCCAACCCGCCTCGCCAATACGGGAAGCAACGGTTCTGTCGCAAAGGAGCTCCTCTCCCACACCGCCAGGCGCTTCTCCCGTATTTCAATCAGCTTCACCCGCCGTGCAACAATATTCTCCAGTGCAGAAGGTTGCATCACCTGTGCAAAAGACCGTATCACCTGTACAGAAACACGTCTCGCCTGTCGCGAAACCCGCTTCACCCGTTCCGAAAGTCAGCAGTCCTCTAGCACGTGGGCACATGTCTCCGATGATGTCCCCACAAATGGCTCCTCCGCCAATGACGGCGAGGATGCCTCCACAGCCAACCGCCATACCGCCCTACCCCCCCTCCTATCACTCGCCTATCATGAGCGCCAATGGCTTCCTCCCCCAGTATGCCTACTATCAACCTTCCCCCAACATGCATCCGACCCCTCGAGGCTCTATAGACCCCGGGTCGGCTGCTTCCTTCCAGGCCCTGCAGAACCTGGGCTTCGGCAATGGCCATCCTCTGAATGGCAAAGGAGGCACCATCTCGCCCCCACACGAACATGAAGAGCCTATTGAGCTTCTACAGAGGATCCAGGATGCCATTCCCGACATCGGCCGATTGCTCAATAGCTACAAGACCACCAAGGGCAAGTTGCAGGCGCGGGAGTCAGAGTTCAAGCAGATGAAGAACCAACATGAGCAGGACTTGATGCACAAAGACTTCTACATCGATGCCCTGCAGAATCAGATGCGGAAGGCAGCCAGTGAAAGTGCGGAGGAATCAACGAGACTCAAGAATACCATCAATGAGCTCCGCATGGAGCTAGGCAACGAGAATGAGAAGAAGAAGGACCTTCAGGAGAGGCTACATGATGCGGAGAAGGCCAATGAGGAGCTATCGCAGACCAAGGCCGAGCTGGAGGAGGAGGTCAAGACCCTCAACACCAACCTTCAAGAGGCACACGAGACCTACGAGAGGGATATGGAGGCTGCCAGACAGGACAAGGAGTCCTCTCTTGCCACTCAGAAGCAAGAGCTGACGGAGATGTTCGAGGAGATCAAGGCAGAAGACGAGAAGGCAGCAGCTGAGGCTCTCGCAGCACGCGAGCGCGAGTTGCTCGACCAGCAGGACGCGATGAAGAACGATTACGAGAACCAGAAGCAACAGATGCAGGAAGCGCACGATACACTGCAAGCCGATTTCGACTCGAAGGTTACCGAGCTGGGTTCGACAAAGGAAGAACTTGAAACCAGAACTACCGAACTCGCAGACAAGCAGAAGGAACTGGAGACTACCATTGAGACAAACGCCAAGGAGATGGAGGACCTCCGTCAGACCCACGCTAGCGAAGTCGAGTCCCTCAACAATAGCCACGCAGAGAAGGTGGCAGAGATGGAGAAGGAGCACAGCGACCAGCAGCAGAAGTGGGCTGATGAGAAGGCCGACTTGGAGGGACGGCTCTCGGACAAGATCCAGGCCTTGGAGTTCTGCGAGCGGGAGAACAAGAAACTGGAGGAGGATAATCTTGTCAAGGAGAAGCAGGTTCAGCATGCGGTGGATGGAATGCGCCTCACCATTGATAATTTGGACAAAGATTGCGACAGGCTGAGAAAGACCCTTCACAGCCTTGGAGAAGCCACTGACCTCAAGAGCACGAAGGGTGATACATTCTTGTAAGTGACCCAGTGCATTGAGAATGTGTTTTAGTACCCGACTTTCGTTTATGATCTCTCATCTTCCGATGTTCTTTTCCTTATTCTTTTTTTCTTTTTTCTTTCTTCTGCATTATCTTTGCATTTTAATTTCGATGTCATGTTTGCATTTTTCTTCTTTTCTGCATGAACATGAACCAGAACCAGAACCAGACCACAGTCTTTTGTTTGTTTCATTTCCTTTGTCTTTTCTCCTGTTCTCCTGTCTTTTTCTATAGACTGATCATGATGATGACTATGATGACATGTTGATAACGCTATAAATGTACGTGCTCTGATAAACATCTCCGAAATCTAGTTTGGACTGTTTCGGCCAGCTTTCTCGGCTTATTGTCTCCTTGTCCAAGGAGCACTTCTCGTACCTTCCAATTGATCCTCCCAAGGACATTCTATCCAAACTTCCATCGGAACTACCATCGTTCCTTGATAACACCCCGGCATCGTGCGAGCTTCGTTCAGCATATGTCCAGCATGTCATTTCTAAGACCTTGACCTACCGCATCTTTCATCCTTTCCTGTTCACCCTGGGGCGCCGGTTCGATAAGGCCGATACCTTCTTCCAGATGCTGTCGATGGATATCCGCCGCAAGTCCGTAAGACGGGAAGCGTTCTGGAGACAGCAGACGCTGAAGGCCGCGTACACGACTTCGGACGCTAAGCAATCGATCAACGTGGTGGCCGCCGTCATTGTTGATGAAATCATCGACCAGCTGAAGCACTTTGCCGACCCAAGGAACCTGGATGCTCTGCTCATCGCGGTCCGCAAGATTGTCAAGCTTGCAGCTGAGACCTGGCGACTTGCGCGCGTGGAACGTGAGCTGATTCTGGCCTCGCTGCCGTCGCCCGACGCCGATGCCGTCTCCAATGATGACTGGGAAGAGTACGGCACGCCCAAGGAGGGCAGCCTTAGCTCCAAGGAAGACCCCACTCGCCATGTTATCCTGCGCACCTTCCCTCGGATCACGCGCGAGGCAGCTCACGAGGATTTCGCGGGCGACGAAGAAAAGTACAACCCCTGCACGTACTCCCGTGGCTGTGTTCTGTACTCCGACTCCCCTGTGGTCATGGCCCGTCTCCAAGAATTGGCTAAGAAGTCAGAGGATTCGCCTCGTCGTGGTTCAAGAGACTCGACCCGTTCCGATGGGTCGCCCTCTCCCCGCCGGAGTCGGGACGGCATGAGGACATGAACGAGAGCTTCGAGTAGTGCGATGTGAGTGGCTATGTTGACCAGGATACTGTTTTAATAACCGGCTTGTTTCAAATACTTTTGATCTTTCCCCATTTTGTCTTATCTTGCCGGCCCGACCCTCGCGGGGCTGCGGGGCCTCAACAATCCTTCTGGTTTCCTATGTCTTCCAACGTTTTTGATCATGACCGAGACGACTTTTTTTATGAGAGGGTCCCTACACCCGTTCCTTTCTCTAACCAGTGTATTTTTTCCGACACATTTTATTTTCTTCTTCTCGAAGCTATCATGTTATTTCGGGGTTGCGCCTCTTTTGTGTGTGTGTTATGTTTTCATCTTGCGTGTTTTAGCGAGCATTTGATCTTTCGATGTGTAACAAACAAACAATCAATGTATGTGGAACTACTACTATATTTATCTATTACCCGGACCTGGAAGCCCCTCACAGCACCTGCACAGCATGTACTTATTGGATACGATGGACGAGTTGATGAGAAGATGCGCAAGAGACTGGGGATGATCTGCGAACCCAGCGCGAGATGATGAGAAAATGAATGAATCAATCTGATGAAAATTGAATTCTGATTGTTTGCAACCCTTCCAGCCAAGGCTTTACTCCGCCCGATAGACAGGTGTAGTCTAGGACCGTAAACCAACCAGTCTGGTTGGCTAGTGCGCTAGATAGATACATGGTTAAGTCGGAGTCAGTTACGCGGGCGCAAACTGCACAGCCACGCAATGATGTCAAGATCAGCCATGCCACACACACACACATTCTTTTACACTGTGCCAAAGCTTGGTTGGTGCGCCCTTTGAGCCTCCTGTGTCCCCATCCGGGGAGAGAAGTCGGTTACACGATGGCCGATAATTTCTCTACTATTCCTTCCCATCGCGGGGCCTTAGATAGCGGTCTGACGATGTGACAGTTCCACTCTACTCCATTTCATTCGCCTTCGTAGTTGTCCAGGACTTTCGCAGCACCATCTTTAATATAAGCCTCACATTGTTCACCGCTCATACTACATACATTGGATTTCAGGATGAATTCGATCTCCAACTGCCAAGATACCGGTAATCCGATCAACTTCCACCGGTTCTGACTCCAACTTGCGCAGCCTCAGACAGGGCTGATCCAGTCGGGGGGGTGGGGGGAAACATCTCATGCCAAGAATGTATTGTCTGTTGGATATGTACTACTTCCGTACACCGTAGTAGTAGTAGTATAATATCTAGAAGTGGATGAGTTACACCATAAACTAGATAGTTGGACTGGGGTTCAGAGGGTGGCTTGTGTCGTGGCTGAGTTTGGCTACTACCGTTTCAGCACGGGGTGGGGGTTATAAATAGCAACTTGCCGATATTATCATCACTATTTACCGCAGCATACTAGTATTGATGGTATCATATTGGGCTGAAATTGTGGTGCATACTCTAGTAAGCATGCAGTAAATATCAGATAGCTGGTAAGAATAGTAACAGTCTTTTCTACGAGTTATTTTTGCTTTCTCTACGATAATATTTGGTGTATTGTGTTTGACAAACGACTCGACAGCGAGATGAGTAGATTGCGATAATCAAGGTCAAGTGGGACCTGGTGGGGACGGGACGAGCCCTGCGAATTTCCGGGCTATTGACTATTGTTTTTTTC